TGGATTTTGAATGGTTATACCAGGATGATGCCTACAGCTGCAGGCATCATCCTTGTATCGTTTTTTTCAGCCGACGATCAGCTTTCATGTAAAAGCAATCCTAGTTGCTAATTAGCTGCAGGATTGCTTTTACAAGCAGCGGGAGATGATGCCCCCCTCCCCCGCTGCCTTCCACAGCCTTCTTGGGCAGTCTCATGCCATCGGGGGAACCTGAGAATGCAGCCGGTGTTTCCGCCAGCTGACCATAGAGCTGATTGGAGACCAGAGTGGTGCCAATCATCTCTATAGTCTAAGAATTCGGAATCTAGGAGCATTTCATCACTTCAGTTTCGCAGGATATAAACAGCGCCATTTGTAAATTGGGAAAGCAAATTTTGTAAATTTTGGACATCGTATTATTTATTTATTTTGATGTATTTATTTATGATTTATCATCTAGTATTTATTTCGTAATTGTTTGGAATATTTATTCAATGGGGTTGGATTAGGATTTATTGAATAGGATTTATTTGTATTGAATATTTATCTTATTTCATGTAGGAGTTTTTATGGATAGGCAGAGGAAAAGGTTGATTAATATAATATACCTATGCCGCTGGAGTCCCCAATACCCAGCTCTGCATAGGAGTTAATGCACATTTCATCTAGGGCATGAGGAATAGTGTAAAATAAGTTAAACTATTTTACTTTATTCCTTGTTCCCATGAGCAGCCACCACTCTTCTCCAGCTCTTCCAGGAAGTGGCCAGGCCCTCAACATCCTGCAAAGTAAGTGATGGTGTTGAAGAGCTTGCAACCAGTAAAGCAGTAAAGAGAAGAGGCTTTGGGGGAACTGTCAAACAGTGTGGAGGAATCCTGTGGGACTAGAGAATAAGGTAGGTAATTCAATGTTTTTATTATCCATTAGACAAAACAGTAATTTAATCCATGTAGTGTGGGGGAAAAGGGGGTCACTTCACAGGAACATGTCATAAACATTTAATGAATGCTAAAGATTAAGGATTCTAAAGATTCAAAAAAAAATTGAACTGCGGTATCTTTCTCCTTTCAGACATGCTGTTTTCCACTGAAATTTGGACAGAGCCTTATGCAAGGAGACAAAGAAATTTCAGCTTGCGCTATTGAGTTCTGTATACAACAGGCTTTTGAAAAAAGGAACTAAAGAAATACTGGAAGGGAGTATAAAATATAATTATGCTATATTTCATGTTTTCCAAAATACTATGTTTGACCATAATAAGGAAAGAAGATACAGTAGGTACAAAACCCCACTATACATTCCCTTTAAAGACAGTTTTATTCTTTATCCTGTATACAGTAAAATCATTAAGTATCAACACTACAAGTTCAAGGGCTGTAGGAAGAGAAGATCATTTTCAAGATGCAAAAAATGATCTCAAGAGGATAATTAATCATCTGGATCTTTTGTTTTATATCAATGTATTTTTAGATTCAATAACATTTAGCACACGTTTGATATACACAGTGCAGAATAGAGATAATTAGGTTAATGCAAACGTTCTGTCATTCATCAGGCATGTTCTACTTCTGACATTTTCGTGGATATAACATGTCTGCAATTTATGTGCTAGCATGTGTTAACACTTGTAGGAATAGATTTTATTTTGATTACCAGGTCATTGTTTTATCAATGAATTAATTGCATTTGTTAGAGAGCCACACCCCTTTTTCCATTCCATTTTTGACAAGAATGATCAGAACGTCTGTCCCTATTGCTTTGTGTTCCCAGTAGAAATATGTTCTCTCACTTAAAGTGAGGTGCTGGTAACACTTTGACATAGCTCACAGTAGCTCCAAACTTTGCCCCCATTCCCCCTCCCCCCAAGAAAAAGTGCTAAAGTGTAAGATACAGTTTGGTCCATTTTATATTTGGACACAGGTGCAATTTTAGATTTTTTCAGGTATTTACCAAAACATTTTCAAGCTATAGCTATATAATGGATATGGGATACAAGTTCACACTCTCAGGTTTAATTTGAGGGTATGTACATCCAAATTGGAGGAAGGGTTTAGGAATTACAGCTCTTTTTCAAGAGACCAAAGGTAATTGGACAGTTGAATCAAAAGCTGTTTCATGGCCAGGTGTGGGCTACTCCTTCATTATTTCTTCATCAATTAAGCAGGTAAAAGGTCTGGAGTTGATTCTGAGTGTGGTATTTGCTTTTGGAATGTATTGCTGTGAACCTACATCATGCGTTTAAAGGAGCTGTCTGTGCAAGTGAAACAGGCCATTGTAATGCTTCAAAAATGAAACAAATCCATCAGAGAGATTGCAGCAACATTAGGAGTGGCCAAATCAACAGTTAGGTACATTCTGAGGAAAGAAGAACGCACTGGGGAGCTCAGGAACATAAAAAGGCATGGACATCCACGGAAGACAACCGTGGTGGATGATCGCAGGATCCTTCCTATGGTAAAGAAAAACCCATTCACAACATCCAGACAAGTGAAGGACACTATCTGGGAGGTCGGTGTATCATTGTCAAAGTCTACAATCAAGAGAAGGCTTCATGAGAGCAAATACAGAGGGTTCACCACAAGGTGCAAACCATTCATAAGCTTGAAGAATAGAAAAGCCAGATTAGACTTTGCCAAAAAATATCTAAAAAAGCCAGACCAGTTCTGAAAAAACATTCTTTGGATGAATGAAACTAATATTAATCTGTACCAGAATGACAGGAAGAAAAAAGGGCGGAGAAGACTTTGAACAGCTCATGATCCAAAGCACACAACGTCATCTGTAAAACATGGTGGAGGCAGTGTGTTGGCATGGGCATGCATGGCTTCCAGTGGCACTGGGTCATTGGTGTTTATTGATGATGTGACAGAAAAGAGAAGCAGCCGGATGATTTCTGCAGTGTTTAGAGATATACTGTCAGCCCAGATTCCGCCAAATGCAGCAATGTTGATTGGACGGCGCTTCACAGTACACACGGACAATGATCCAAGACACACTGCAAAAGCAACCCAGGAGCTTTTGAAGGAAAAGAAGTGGAATATTCTGCAATGGGCAAGTCAGTCACCTGATCTCAACCTAATAGAGCATGCATTTTACTTGCTGAAGGCAAAACTAAAGGCAGAAAGAACAACTGAAGACAGCTGCAGTTAGAGCCTGGCAAAGCATCAGAAAGGAGGAAACCCAGTCATTGGTAATGTCCATGGGTTCCAGACTTCAGGCAGTCATTGCCAGTAAAGGATTCTCAACAAAATATTAAAAATGAACCTTTTATTTATGATTATATTCATCTGTCCAAATACTTTTGGTCCTTTGAAAAATGGGGGATGGCTACTCTTAAGAGCTGTAATTCCTAAACCATTCCTCCAAGTTGGATGAACAAACCCTCAAATTAAACCTGAGAGTTCGCACTTTCAGCCCATATCCATTATAGAACTATAGCTTGGATATGTTTTGGTAAATGCCTGAAAAAAAAACTAAAATTGTGCCTGTGCCCAAATATATATGGACTTAACTGTATATTTTCTTTCATGACACAGACAGTAATAAACACCAACACAAAGGTTCTAACCCTTTTCTATATATGTTACAAAATAATGCCCAGCATAGGTATATAAACATACTGATAACAAGTGGTTATTCCAGGATTATGGCTGCAGCTGTGACCCTAGTACCATTATTTAAAGCCAGCAATCTGCTTTCTTGTAAAAGTGGTAACTTTTGCAATAATTGTAAAAGCTATCACTGGAGGGCCCGTTCACCTCTTTGTGATAGCAATAAAGTTAAATTAAAAAGTGTAAAAAAAAAAAAGTAAGAAATATAAATAAAAAATAATAAAAATAATTTAGGACATATGTAAATGGCGATTGCACCACACATGTGAGATATCAACACAAACAATGGAGTGGGGAGCAAAAATTCTGGCACAATAGCTCATGTTTAACTCCAAACTGATAACCTATGAAGGCTTTTGTAGCATTGCCTATGGGCAAGTTTGTTTGTTTGTTTGTTACCACTTTACAAGTGTGCACAATTGTAATTCTTGACATGTCTAATATCTATTATTTCAAAGTAACATCATATTTTAAAAATAATAATAATTCTGGTATCATGCTATTATCATTGAGCTTGCTCATCTTTTGCTTACTGGAACTTCGACAAAGTGGGAAATTGGACTAACTGGAGTTATAAAAGCAGGGTTTAAAAAAAGATTATAACAGGAGTCTTTACCTGCAAGTAACATCTGAAATTTTCTGTTAGTAATATTAATATTGTAACTGGAAAAATGAATGCTCGCAAGGTTGAAGATCTTGTGCAGTGCACAGTGTGCCGCATATATACCACAATGGAGCAACAGCGCCCAATTGGATACCACTGTGACAGATGTGAGCGGTTTGTCTTTCTGGAAGCTCGCATTACAGATCTGGAGGAGCAAGTTGCAACACTGGGCAAATCTGACAACCTTGAAAGGGGTTCTCTGCTCACTGAGCAGGTGGTTAATGGGTAGAGGCATAATTCAGGATTATCAGGTAGGAAGATGGGTTACTGCAGTCAAAGGGAGTGGTAGGGGCTCACAGAAAAGGAAGACTAACCCTGGCTTTGAGTACCCACACATATTTTCCAACTTGGGTGAAGATGTGGGGGTGGCAAGCTCAGAGGTGACAGCCCTAGTTGTCACTGCTATCCCAAGCAGCTGGGAGAGCAACCCATCTAGTATGGGTGGTGAGGGTATTGTAGGAATGCTTAGGCCAGTGGTTCTCAACCTTCCTAATGCCGCGACCCTTTAATACAGTTCCTCATGTTGTGGTGACCCCCAACCATAAAATTATTTTCGTTGCTACTTCATAACTGTAATTTTGCAGTGGGAGGAGTTGTGCCACGTCATTGGTGTCAGTGGGAGGAATAGTGTCCCATCACTGATGTCAGTGGAAGGAATAGTGCCCCATCATTGGTGTCAGTGGGAGGAATAGTGCCCCATCATAGGTGTCAGTGGGGGGAATAGTGCCCCATCATTGGTGTCAGTGGGAAGAATAGTGCCCCATCATTGGTGTCAGTCAGTGGTGTCAGTGGGAATAGTGCCCCATCATTGGTGTCAGTGGGAGGAATAGTGCCCCATCATTGGTGGTGTCAGTGGGAGGAATAGTGCCCCATCATTGGTGTCAGTAGGGGAATAGTGCCCCATCATTGGTGTGCCCCATCATTGTGTCAGGGGGAATAGTGCCCCATCATTGGTGTCAGTGGGGGGAATAGTGCCCCATCATTGGTGTCAGTGGGTCAGTGGAGTAATAGTGCCCCATCATTGGTGTCAGTGGGGGGAATAGTGCCCCATCATTGGTGTCAGTGGGGGAGGAATAGTGCCCCATCGTTGGTGTCAGTGGGGGAGGAATAGTGCCCCATCGTTGGTGTCAGTGGGGGGAGGAATAGTGCCCCATCGTTGGTGTCAGTGGGGGGAGGAATAGTGCCCCATCGTTGGTGTCAGTGGGGGGAGGAATAGTGCTCCCATCGTTGGTGTCATTTGGGGGAGGAATCATGCCCAATCGTTGGTGTCATTTGGGGGAGGAATCATGCCCAATCGTTGGTGTCAGTGGGGGGAGGAATAGTGCCCCATCGTTGGTGTCAGTGGGAGGAATAGTGCCCCATCATTGGTATTAGTGACACCAATGATGGGGCACTATTCCTCCCACTGACACCAATGATACTTACCTTGCTGACCCCTGCTCCAGCCTGGGCTCGCTCGTTCCCTCCCTCTCCCATGGTACAGACACTTACCGGTCAGCTGTCTTCCTTCTCCGGCCGCTCTCCTCCTCTTCACTCGCTCGATCTTCGCGGTGCCGCTCGGCTCCTCCTCTCCAAGCTCCACCTCCTCGCTGGTGATTGGCCGCCTGTGTGCCTCTCCTGAGCTACAGTTCCGGCGGCCAATCACTGGCGAGGATTGATCCCGGGGGTGTGTCCAGATGACAGGGGCGGCATGTCATCCCACCCACACCTGGAGACGGATAGAGGAGCGGTGTCTCGGTTCCTAAGACCATCGGAAATATGTATTTTCCGATGGTCTTAGGCGACCCCTGTGAAAGGGTCGTTCGACCCCCAAAGGGGTCGCGACCCACAGGTTGAGAACCGCTGGCCTAGGCAGTTTGTAGTAATAAGGGATTCTATATTCAGAAGGGCTGATATTATTCAGAAGGGCTGAATAATTTGTTGCCAGGATCGCCTCAACTGAATGGTTTCCTGTCTCCCTGGTGCCAGGGTTTGGCATGTGGTGGACCGGGTTGGTAAGTTACTGGGAGGGGCTGGGCATGACCCAACAGTCTTGGTCCATATTGGAACCAATGGCTGAATACATGGAAGGTGAAGGCTCCTTAAGAATCAATTTAAAGAACTTGGCTGCAAGTTGAAGGGTAGGATCTCCAAGGTAATATTCTCTGAAATATTGCCTGTGCCATACACACAACACAGGAGGGACAGGGGGAGTTTAGAGAACTTAATGCATAGATAAAGACCTGGTATAAGAGGGAAGGATTTGGGTTTCTAGAGCACTGGGCTGACTGTTCATTGGGGTGCAGCCTATATGGTAAATATGGTTTGCACCTAAATGGAAGGGGGTCTGCTGTGCTGGATCAATATTTAACTAGTATTTAGGGGGAAAGGAGAATTAGATTATAATGGGGCAGACAGGTCAGGCAGGGGTCAGTCCCTATTGGTGGGTGGAAAGGGGAAAGATGAGGTGAGGGCTATGGCAGGGGATAAGAAGATTCCCATGTTAGAGACAACTATTGGAAATGGTACTCTTTGGTACTAAAATAAAAAATATGCAATATGTGTGTGCAAAAAGGTGGCAATGAATTTGAAAGTGTTTGTTTACCAATGCCAGAAGTCTGCCAAGCAAAATAGGTAAGTTGGAAGCTTTGGTGCATGAAGATAACTATGGTTTAATTGGTACTGCTGAATCTTGGCTTCATTCTTTTCATGACTGGGCTATTAATATTCCTAACTATGCTCTCTTTCGGGGAGACAGGGTAGAAGGAAAGTTGGTGGTTGTAATGGTAACGCTTACTGCGCCCTCACAAAGCTGTGTGGAAGGGCAAGGACACAATGTTGTCCAGATTCAGCCATGACAGTTTGTAGCACAACTTGGTGAATAAAAGAAGTGGTTCCCTTCTCTTCATCCCCCAGGAAGCCTCTGGTGCAATACACAACTTTTAACTGATACCAGAGGCTGCTGATCAGACCAGGACAGATACATGCCTTCTCATGCCTATTAGCCCAATCTCCTATTCCAGTCTGAAAACCCTAATAAAACTGTCACCCTTGCAAGCTTGAGCAATCTGGAGACCTAACAGGCCTTGGTTCGTAAATACTTTAGTGGAATACACATTTCTGATATCAGCCAAGTTTCTAAAACTTCATCAGGTTTCATTCTTTTGATTCTTTTTTGCTTTATTTCTTCTTTATTTCTTTCTAACTTTGTGTCTTTTTCTGTAAATATTTTATTTGCATCATTTTGACCTTTTTAATAATAAACCCTATTTGGAAACGTATTGAAATTGTCACCAAAGCTTTTACTGCAAATTAAAAGAATCCTTGTCTCTTGAAGAGTGCTACTGTATATGATAACACTCTGAATATACCTATCTGTGGTGGCAGTGTGTGTGACGTTTATGTTAAAATCATAGTTGTTATTGCTAAGATTATGAGTTCCTCGTTCCTCCCTCTTGGTCAAAAGGGAGTAGTGGTAGCTTAAATAGTAAATTGCTAATTAACCTAACCCACTGACAATCACTGTCAGGCTTCTGGCATCAAGCTTTTGGTCCCAAGAGCTGGAAAATCTTTGTGCAGAGTGCAGCTGAGAATGGCATTGTTATGTAAGTGACAACGTGGTGAGAGATTGGCCAGCCCTTTGTCACAAGTTGGTGAGATGGACAGGGGTCAGGCACAGTAGTGTCTGCAGGGCCCTCTTTAATATTGATTGAGCTCTGGGCAAACATTTTCTTGCACCCTCCCTAGAGGTTACTGCACAGCATTAATGCTAACTGATTGGTTGCTATAGACTACAGCCGATCACTACTGTTCAATGACTGGTTGCTGGTTACGCACATTATTACCACTCACTAAGCAGTGCAGCAATCCCAAATGATTGAGTAAGGCAGCACATTAATACACATACTACAAGAGATGGTCAGAAACTGTAGACATACAACAGGAGATGATTTGAAACAGTAGACATACTACAAGAGATGGCCAGAGACTGCAGATGTACTACAGGAGATGACCAGAGACTGCAGACATACCACAGGAGATGGCCAGACACTGCGGATGTACTACAGCAGATGATCAGAGACTGTGGATGTACTACAGGAGATGACCAGTGACTGTGGATGTACTACAGGAGATGATCAGAAACTAATGCACTATAGGAGATGACCAGAGACTGCAGACATACTACAGGAGATGACCAGAGACTGCAGACATATAGGAGATGACCAGAGACTGCAACATACTACAGGAGATGACCAGGGACTGAAGACAGGAGATGACTGAGACTGAAGACATACTACAGGAGATGACCAGAGACTGCAGGTGTACTACAGGAGAGAATCAGAGACTGCAGGTGTACTACAGAAGATGACCAGAGACTGCAAATGTACTACAGGAGATGACCAGAGACTGCAGATATACTACAGAAGATGACTAGAGACTGCGGAAGTACTACAGGCGATGACCAGAGACTGCAGATGCACTATAGAAGATGACCAGAGACTGCAGACATACTACAGGAGATGACCAGAGATGGAAGACATACTACAGGAGATGACCAGAGACTGGAGGTGTACTATGGGAGATGATCAGAGCCTGCGGATGCGATATAGAAGATGACCAGAGACTGCAGATATACTACAGGAGATGACCAGAGACTGCAGATGTACTACGGGAGATGATCAGAGATTGCATGCGTACTACAGATATTCAGAGACTGCGGATGTACTACAGAAGATGACCAGAGACTGTGGATGTACGACAGGAGATGACCAAAAAACTGCGGATGTACTACAGGAGATGATCAGAGACTGCAAATATACTACGGAGATGACCAGAGACTGAGGATGAACTACAGGAGATGACCAAAGACTGCAGATGTACTACAGGAGATGACCAGAGACTGCAGATGTACTACAGATGATCAAAATCTGTGGACGTACTATAGAAGATGACCAGAGACTGCGGACATGCTACAGGAGATGACCAGAGACTGCAGGCATAGTACAGATGACCAGAGACTACAGACACAGTACAGGGGATGACCGGAGACTGCGGACATAGTACAGGGGATGACCAAAGACTGCGGACACAGTACAGGAGATGACCAGAGACTGCGGACAGTACAGCGAGACTGCGGACATAGCACAGGAGATGACCAGAGACTGTGGACACAGTACAGGAGATGACCAGAGACTACGGACATAGTAGAGGAGATGATCACACAGACTGCAGACACAGTACAGGAGATGACACAGTACAGGAGATGATCACAGACTGCAGACACAGTACAGGATGACCAGAGGCTGCGGACACAGTACAGGAGATGACCAGACACTGTGGACATAGTACAGGAGATGACCAGAGACTGCAGACATAGCAGGAGATGACCATTTATAGGGAATGAACAGAGTTCTCTCAGCAATGCACATATGTACAGTTTGTGAAAAATAGCTTAGGGTTTGGTATAACAGTCCACAGGCAGTTTATGGGGGGAAAGGACATACCAGGCCAGCCATGCTCAGCATCCTCTCTGAGGTCCGGGGGCGGGGCTCCCACTCACATCATAGCTTCTACCAGGGGCGGACTGAAAACTCATGGGGCCCCTGGGCAACAGGGGATCATGGGGCCCCTGTGTCCTTGCCCAAACTAAAAAAAGCCTATGAAAAAAGGTACCAGGGGCATCTCATGGGGCCCCCTACTGACCTCGGGCCCTCAGGCAGTGCCCGAGTTTCCAAATGGTCAGTCCGCCCCTGGTTTCTACTACAGCAGCTCCCTCTTGAGGCATACAGGCTGCATGGGGCGGGGTCAGTGGAGCTTCAATACCTAGCCCCGCCCCCTCCATTCTGAAAGGGGAATACAGCGATGTCTCCAGTGTACTCTGTGCTCTCTGCAGTGAAATCATCAGGACCCCAATTTGCGGGTAGCACAGGCTTAAGGGGCAGCTACTTTGGGCCCCACAACAATGACTGGGTCCATTGTAGCTGCCCCGTGTTAAAAATGGGGTATTTGTCTCTATGTGAGAAGTGATCTCAAAGCAAGTATGAAAGAGGACATAGTTGATGTAGCGTGTCATGAGGCTGAAGCATTATGGGTGGAACTGCACATGGGGGTGCGTACTACAAAGGTAATCATTGGAGTTTGTTATAGGCCACCTAGTTTTAATGAGACTCAGCTCCTTGCGCAGATAGAAAGGGCTGCAATGGCTGGCACAGTTTTAATATTGGGGTATTTTAACTACTGGAAATTGACTGGAGTAATGGCACTGCAGGAACAGTTAAAGGGCAAAAATGTATAAACCTATTACAAGACAATTTTATGGTACAGTTCATAGAGACCCTGACTGAGAATGATGCTCTTCTGGACCTGGTAATCTCAAACCATGTAGAACTTATTACTAATGTTCATATAAAAGAGCATGTGGGTAGCAGTGACCATAACATGATTTAATTTAAAGTTAGCTGTAAACAACAAGCATATACTGGAAAGATACAAACACTCAACTTGAAGAGAGAAAATTTTCCAAGGATGAGGGCTGCTCTCCAAGACTTAGACTGGGAGGAAATATTGGCATCAATGAAC